GGCGTGAAGTGGAAGCAATTCCGCGTTTCGTCTGATGAGTGTGGTGTCGGAGGCCTAATTTTAGTCCCTTTTCCTTTCCATCCTTTTCTGGAGAGGAAAGGATGGGAAGAAAAAGTGGATTTGACGGTGGAGGAGACGCATAGGAAATGTCCTCTTTATGTCTCCTCCTCCGTCAATTAATGGTAAGCAACGCATCTGCAATTTCGGATATTTATGGGCAGCGGTCGCTTACCATTTCGGTGGATTCGGGTTGCCGCTTGCTCGTTTGCCACCTTATATTATAAAAAAAATAAAATAATGTAGTCAATAGTGTCGAAAAGGTAAAAGAAAAACTAAATATAAGAGGTCGCCAAAATTTAAATAAAGAATAATATCGATTTATTTTCAATCAGCACAAAATCTAATTTTATTGAACCTTAATCTAAAAGCAAACCACAATATCCGAGTTTGATATTAAATAAATTTTATCAGAAGTTTACAAAGAGGAAATATGAAAATGATGAGTATTGAAACAAAGAGGTTAAGTCATCAAGAGAAGCGGCGCGGGGCTTTGTGTTTACGTTAATTATGGCCCCGTAATGAGACGGCGCTGGGCTTTGTGCGCGGGACAGCGGGACAGCGGGACAGCGAGACACGGCGCACCACACTCATGTTGTCAACTACTGAAAAATAACTAAACAATGAATTAGTTAACAAAAATAACATTGTCAGTTGTTCGTAAATATTTTTGACTAGTCTTCGCCTGCCACGTTCCTCTCGCGAAATTAAAAAAAGTCTGGTAAATACTTAGTTCATATTACTCAATAGTAAGGAAGCTTTTTACTCATAAAAGAATTTTGCAAATCGGTCTAACAGTTTTTGTGTTTGTTAGTGGCATCCAAAAAATTTCCTGTTTATATATTAAAATAGAAAAGTCCAGATATACGGTAAGTAAACATTGAAAGTATTATTGAACTGATTTCAAAGATCGCTAGATGTAGGTAAAATTATGATAGACATGTATTGACTGTTGTTACATTGGCACACAGCAGTATTGAGTGAAGACCACATTATACAGCGCGTGGTGACAACCTCACAGCGGACAGAGACATGGTATTTGTAGAACATCACTGACGGTGACAGCTGAAGTAGGGTGACCAAGATACAGTACTGTTACGAGACGTCTTAACCTGAGTTCGCAAAGTAAACAATATATTTTCCCGAATACTCGCATTACTTATTTCTGCATTAAATTTATTTTTTCATGTCCTAGTTATGTAGGTTACCTTGAGTTTCCACTGTTCTAAGAACCTGTTTGTTTGTATAAGTTATTTAAAATAATAAGAGGAACGACAATAATTACGTTTTGTACAGGTATTTCGTCAGCGGACGTGGTAACAGTAAATTTCCTCTTTTACAAAAATGTATGAAAAATCTTGAAAGCTTTCCCGTACGTATGGTGTCAGTACACCTCCCGCTGCGTCCAACATTAATAGCTCCCGGCCTGTTATTAATTAACTGAAGGGTTTGTCTTTACGAAGCCTCCGCCGACCGCCGCGCCGTGCGGACAGGGACAACATAGCGGCTATGCGAAATAACATGGAAACATCCTGGTTTTTATGACAATTTTCATTGTAAACGCACCGTGAAATTATAAAAGATAAATTTAAATGAGACTAATTAAGCAATTGTTTTTCTTTGTTTATTTAAACGAAATAATAGACTAATCTTAGTACCGATATTTCATCTTCGAATATACTGCATGCCAATCAATAACACAAATTACCACGTAACTTCTGAAATTAAAACCTCATATAACTGGTCCTGTGCGCCGGATGCGCGCGGACCGCAGCGGGGGCCACGGGGGGCGTAGGGGCGAGGGGCGCGGGGTGTCCGCTCAGAACCAATCAATGTTAGTTAATTGGCGCTTTAATGCTGCCTCATTCAACAATTACAGAGGTCGCTGTCAACTGACAGGTATGTAGTGATGTGACAAGAAGGGACGTAACATTTATCGATAGAATAAACTTACGAAATAAGGTATAGGTTAGTCTAACTGGAATATATCAGCAGTATTCAATTTCAGCAAAAACAATTGACTTGTTACTTGCCATTATCAAGTAAGTAACATAAACAACTGCACTACAGAATACATTTGAATATTTGCTAAAACACGACTTATAGGTTTATTAATAAAATAAAAAAAAGAGATGGCTCTGGGATGTGATTGTGTTTGCTTCATTATATTTACTAGAAGCTAGGTCTTAATTTGAATCAGAAAATCGACATTGCCCCATCACTATTGTCAAATTGTTGTATGGTCTGCGTGTATTAGCGGCCCCTGCCCACCGCCCCGCGCAGCCGCCGCGCTCGCCCCTCACGTGTCCCAATCAATCTCCAACGCAAATTCGTTTAATTTAACGTTGAATTCTCAATTAAGCAGTCGTTGTCGTTGTCGTGTGATGTTTGCTTTCAACTCCACTGCTATTGTTTACGGCCAGTTTGTTATTGATTGGGGATTTAGTTCACGGGGATAATATACCGCTTTTAATGTTCATAGTACACCTTATGAGATCGCCATTTCGTTACTGGTTGAGATGATATGATGAGAACTTGAAACCGTACTAACTTACATATGAAAAAAAATCATAACTTTAATTAAAACTAGCTGTGGCTTGCGACTCCGTCCACGCAATATTAAGAAAAGTAGCCTGTAATATGCCCTTCTATTTAAATCTGGAATTTTTCTTTTGATAGACACTCCTATTTTATTACATGTATAGGTAGATAGATTCATTCATAAGTATTTTACATGACGTGCAACAAAATATCGGATAGCTAATTGATTTTTCATCGCATTTTCACACTTCGAAGAAGGTTCATTAAGTATTCAGAAATGAAGCAGAAAATTGCATTTTTCATTAAGTTAATGCAGATATGAATAATTTACATATCGTGTCGTGTCCGGCAAGTTGTCGTCACGCAATCGTGAACAGATTTTAATCACACGTTGTATTATTTAAACCAATTCAATTCACTTTGCCGTTTATTATTTAAAGGGTTAATTATCAATAAACTGCACTAAGTTTATTAATGTTTTGTGTTGAAGTAATCCAGAGAATTGTTTTAATTTATATGTTAAAGGGAATTATCGAAGCTGCGCTGGTAAAGGGATGAAAAACTAACAATGTCATCTAATTTAAATTTATTTTACAACAAAATGCTTAAAAATCTATTCTCAACTAGAAAGTAACGAGTTTAAGTTTCTATATACGAAGATTTCATACAAGAAATCTAATTTTATCTTTTCATAAATACCCAATCACAGTAACTTCCAACATAAATTGGAGTCTTTAAGTTAATACAATTGTATCAATAAACATTTGTGTCAATAAATAAGTGTCTCTCCGTCGGCCGCGTCGCTCGCGGGTCCGTACAAAAGAAACTGCTACAAAGGACCTCTACAATAAAAAGACCCCGAGCGCCGCTGCCATTGGTCGGCTGTGGTGACGTCACCGAGGCCACGCCCCGCGGCCGCGCACCTGAGATGAGACCGCGCGAGATTTGTAAAAGTGTAAAGAGGACGACACTAATATTGACGATTGGAACTGCAATCACAAAACGTAATATGTTCTTAACGTTCTTCGTTGTAATTAGAATCGAGTGAGGATTATTTAAGGTTGAATTTCGAGTATCGGCCATGTGATGAGGTGTCAAAGGAATAGTAGAGGCGGTCAGTCGGAAAAGCTGTTATTGTTTGGTTACGGGTTAACCGATTTGGTTAAATTTGTGTTAACGCGGCAGATGTCCGGCGCGCTCGCTCCGTCCCGCTCTCGCCGCGGGGGCGCTGTAATCGCTTTATACTCATTAATTGCCTCTTGATTACCAATTAATTACGAAAGGGGAGTTTAAAGGCTTTAAGATGCGACGCAAAATTTGTTTTTAATTACTTTGAGATTTTGTAATTAGCATATCAAATTGTCTTTTGTTTAGACTCTACGGAACTTCGTCTCCGCTTGTTATTACGTATTTTCATCGATGGTTTTAGGTAGACATGTAACAT